GTAGGGAACAGAGATGTCTTTTAACTTTCAGATTTTAACATTAGGAATATAGTAGCAGAAATAGCCTCTTTAAACAGCCGAGGTGTGTTACTAGGCAGTTAAAGCGTAATTATCTCTATTCGAGTTAATGTTTGGCTCTTTGACTTTAAAAACCTCATTTGCCTCTCAAACTTGATGTAATTCACATTAAGAACTTATTATGGTAAGCCTTTACGTGCTTTCTCTTTTCTTTTTAAGCAGACCCGAGCAGAATTAAGATAGCTTTGGGAAATGAAGCAAGCATATTGGTAAGTGTTTTAAAATGAACTGTATGAAACACTCATGTATGGGCTGTATCCTTAAGTCCTGTGAAGGATTTGGAAGACCATGACCTGGTCCCTCCAGATAAATGGTTTTTATCTTTTGGTGTGTGGAGTAATCAGTGGCTGTTGTCCTGTACAGCCAGCTGAGCCGCTTTGGATGACTGCATTTCTTTCTCCATTTTTTTTTGTTTGTTTGTTTGCTAGCTATAGGGTGCGTAAGCTTGCTGGAAAAAGACACACAGAGAGAAACAGAGAGGGGAAATAAGAAATCACCCTCCCAGTTGGGATGGCCACTCTACAATCCCTTCTCCTCCATTTTCCTCTCGATATTTTGGGCACACATGCACACATGCCTGGTATGGCATGTTTTTCTTTTTTAAAAAGGTTTTATCCATAGTGTTTGTATACTTGCTAGAGATAGTGAGAGGGAAAGTGAGAACTCACCACTGAGGAGGATGGCCACGCTGCAGTCCCTTCTCCATTCTTCTGCTGGGATTTTGGGCATGCACACACATGTGCCCAGTATAATTTTTAGGCCACCAGATCTGGGACTGGAACTGCAGTCAGCCATGTGGTAGTCCAGAACCTTAACCACCACACCACTTGCTGGCCCCACCCAGTGTGTTTTTCAAGCCACCGGGTGTAGGACTTGAACCACACAGTTTGCCACCTGGGACCGCCTTAACCACCAGGCTACTGACTGGCTCTCTTTTTACATTTTTAATTATAAAAGATGGTGTTTTTAATACAGGTGTGAAGAGAACTTTGTCCTGCTTTTAGTCTTGGAAATCGTACTTCAGTCTAGCTTTTTGTTTGTTTCTTATTGTGGTAAAATAATATATAACGTAATATTTGCTATTTAAATATTTTTAAGTGTATAATTCAGTGGCATTAATTGCATTCATATTGTGCAAATCATCACCACTATTTCTAAAACTTTTTATCACCTCACAGAGAAATTCTGTATCTATTAAGGAATAACTATTTCTACCATCCCAGCCCCTATTAGCCTCTTAAAATCTATTATTTGTCTCTATGAGTTTGACAATTCTAGATATTTCATTTAAGTAGACTCATAACATGTGTGAGAACGCCATTCCTTTATATAGCTAAATAACATTTAGATCACTATTTGCATCTTGACATTTTTCTGTTCAAAAATGTGTCAGCCTGGTATTCAAGGTCCTGTGCATCTTGTCCAGCATGAGGTGGCTGGGATGCTCTTTTATACTAAAGCTGCAGTCGAGTCACGAACAGTAACAGCAGGCCCGACTTTCAGTATTATCAAACTCTCCTTAGCAAATTGTGTACTAGTGATGGCTTTTTTCCTTCAATATTTCAATTAAATTTTGAATTCAAAAAGGGAAGCTGTTACACTGACAACAAATTCTCTATTCACTGAATATACTAGTAATTAAACCTGTACATTTTTGGAATGCACCTTAGGTTGTAAATAAAGAGCAACATTCCACTCTTCTGTTGTTATAAATGGGAAATATCCTATTCCTGTACTTTTTATTTTTTCCTGTTTATACCTCCTCCGCGGCCAGCTTTATTAGGCACAATGTACATGTAGTAAATAAAATTTGCCCATTTTCAGGGTATGCTTTGATAAATGTTGGTAATTGTAGTTATACAGCTGTATAACCACTACCACAATGAGCTATGGAAGTTCCATCTCTGGGTCAGCAGGTAGCATGGAGGTTAAGGTAGTAGATCCTACATGGCCGACTACATGGTTTGAGTCCCAGACTTAGTAGCTTGAGAATCATGCCAGGCAGGGGCCAGCAGGTGGCATGGTGATTAAGGGCACTGGACGCCCATATGGCTGACCATGGTTTGAGTCCTGGACCTGGTGGTTTGCTTTCTCACTTTCCCTCTCACTCTCTCGCTCTGTCTTTCTCTGGTCAAATTAAATAAATAAATAAAGTTAAATAAAATTTTAAAAGAAAAAAAAAAAGAATCACATCAGATTCATGTGCATGCATACTCAAATCCTGAGAGGAGATTGGAGGAGAAGGGATTGTGGTGTGACCATTCCCCTGGGGGTTGATTTCTTACTTTGTCTCTCTGTCTCTCTCTGGTGAGCATACGCACCTTATAGCAAAAAAACAAACAAACCCCCCTGCAAACTAAATAAATAATAAAAAGGGGTTTCATCCTCTTAAAAAGTTTTCTTGTGCCCCTTTAGCAGATGATTCAGAACCCTGTCCCAGGCAGCCTCCACTTTAACTCTAATACCACCTATAGCAGACATGTCAGTATATGTTTGCAAAATGAAAAGGGTACAATGTGTAAATATTTTATGAAAAAGGCAAAAAAGGGGGCTAGCAGATAGTGTAGTGGCTACGTCACTGGACTCCTGTGTAATTGACCGCAGTTCGAGTCCCAGACTCCGTGGCTTAAACTCACACCGGGCACGTGTGCGTGCATGCTCAAGATCCCAAGAGGAGAAAGGAGGAAAAGGGATTGCAGCGTGGCCATCCCCCCAGGGGGGGATTTCTCACTTTCTGTCTCTCTTTATTTTTCTGGGGAGTGCATGCGCCCTATAGCAAAAACTTCTCATAAAGAAAAAAAAAGGCAAAAAAGTAAGTCAGGTGACAGAAAACTTGAGGTAGGAAGAGAGTGGTGGCCAGGCTAGCAAGTTGCCATGGGAACAAAGGCAGAGCTGAATGGTGCCCAGAGCAGCTGGAGCTCTTTAGGAGCAGAGAACAGTGATCCTCCATGGGAAGGGATCAGAACCTCCTGGGGGGCTTTTAACAATTCCTCACCACTGTTCTCCAGGATTCTGATGTCTTTGTGGGTGGGGAGGGCTTTAAATCACTGCTATAGTGAGCCACCACTTTTAAGTAATTTTTTTTTGTGCCCCTAAGATGTATGGGAAGAGAAGTTTGAGAACCACTACATAGAAATAAGAAAACTCAACATGCCAGCCTAGGCCAACTGTTTATTCATCCTACAAACAATTGAAAACCCATGTGCCTGGGACTGTCTAGACACTAGATAGTATTTCTTTTCAAAATAAATACAGCTTTAGTAAAGAAGAGTTAGTGTATTACTCTATTTCATGTAAGCAGGGTCTTTAGATAATGTGGAAGAATAGTGAATTAAGTGGGAATGTCTTAACTGTATAGAGGACTTCCAGATGTTTGTGGGAAAATGGAATTAAAGTATAAATTGATTCTGGTACAAAGAACTTTTGAAATCCATGCATATTTTTTCATTATGTGCATTTTCCATAAACTGTTTGAAGACCCCATTTATTTATTTAATTTTATTTATTCATTTATTCATTATTTTAATTTGACCAGAGAAGAGAGAGAGGGAAAGTGAGAAGTAACCCACCAGGTCCAGGACTCAAACCGTGGTTAGCCATGTGGGAGTGTCCAGCGCCTTAACCACCACACCACCTGCTGGTCCCTGAAGACCCCTTTTATAAAATATCTCATTTTGATATTACAGCATTGGCTTAGTCTGTTATGGAATTGCTAACAGAAATACCTGAGACTGGGTGAATTTAAGAGTAGTTTATTGACTCAGTTCCAGTGACTGGAACATGACTAGCAGAAGTAGAGGAGGGCGGGTGTGTGCCGAGAGAGAGCGGGAACATGACCAGTAGACGCAGGGAGGATGGCAGGCACATGCAGAGAGAAAGAGAAGGTACAGGCAGCTTTCTCTTTCATGACAACCTCTCTTGTGAGAGCTCACTGGGTCTCTTGCAACGTCATTCATCTGCTCTTGAGAGCGCTGCCTCCATAATCCAGTCACCACCTGCTAGACCTCACTGGACTCCACGACCCAGTCCCTACTCACTAGGCTTCACCTCTCAAGTCTATCACACCAGGGACCAAATTCAAAACATGAATTTTGGACGGACAGACCATTATCTAAACCATAACAAGCATGAAAAACTCAATACAACAAACCATAGTGACTTTTTTTTTTTTTGGAGAGGTTTTCGCTATAGGGCGCGTGCACTCGCCAGACAGACAGAGAGAGACATAGAGACTGAAAGCGAGAAATCACCCCCCAGGGGGTTGGTCACGTCACAATCCCTTCTCCTCCATTCTTCTCTCGGGATCTTGGGCACGCACGCACACGCGCCCAGTGTGAGTTTTTTAAGCCACCGGGTCCGGGACGAGAACCTCAGTCGACTACTTGGGAGTCCAGCGACATAGCCATTACGCTAACTGCTGGTTCCCATAATGAAATTTTCATTACTCTTTTCTCAGTAAAAACCTGTCAAATATCTCTGTCATGTTTATATATCTTCTTCATATTTGCGATAATAGATATTAACAACTGTTGTTGTAATGACTATTAACATACTTACCCGTATATGTAGGTATGTTATAGCTTAACATATTTGTGTGTATATGGTTATTAATATTTATATGCAACATGTGGCTATTGATGTATTATACCTTGTACTTGGGGTTCTGTAACTATTCATGTATTACAATTCATTGATTTTTGTTTAAAATATCTGACTTTGCATATTTCCTCTTTTGTAGCAATTCAAACAGTATTTAATCTGTATTTTTAATTTCTTTTAAAGCAAGAAGATGAACAAGGTGTAAAGTGTAGCCATACTGATTTAGAAAGCATTACTAAAAATTCGGTTGGAAGTTCATTGAGGAGAGTAAACAAAGAAGAAATAGGTAAGTTATTCCAATTCGTTGTTTTTTGTTTTTGCTTTTTTTTTTAGTTTTTGTTGTAGGGTATGTGCACTCACATATGTGCGCTCACAGTGGGCAGGGGAGGAAATCACCCTCGAAGGGGGAATTGCCATGCAGGATTCCTTCTCCTCCTGTCTCCTCTCAGGATTTTGTGCATGTATGCACACGCACCTGGTGTGATTTTCCAGCTTCCGGGTTCAGGACTCAAGACTACAAAGTCAACCATGTGAAATCTTTAACCTCCTTGCTACCTGCTGGCCCCCATGTTACTCAAATTCTAATCATTGCTTATGTAGGGAACTGGGGAATATAAAGAAAATAGCAATTTTCACATAGGTCTCAGGTATTAAAAGCAAGTGTATAGCCAGAAATTTATAAATTTATTCAGTTATTTATATAATATTACAGGAATAATTTACTCACAAAAATAGAGGTTAGTATTTATCAATAAGAGCCAATAGGGACAGTAGTGTTCCTTATGCTTATGCTATGTACTACATAAAGCAAAGCATACGTTTGTTTAAGTCCTCTTGGGGCTTCATTCTTGTACATTGTGTAATATTGATATGTGACTGTCTATGTTGTATGTTGTTGTTATTTATGTTTTTAGAATTTTTGCCTTAGGGTGCATGTGCTTGGTGGAAAGAGGGAGAGACAGAGCCAGTGAGGGGGAAAGCTAGAAATCACCCACCAGAGACATGGCAGTGCTGCAGTCCCTTCTCCTCCAGTCTCATCTTGGGCATGCATGCATGTACATGCGCCCAAGGTGAGTTTGAAGCGATGGGGTCCCAGCACTTAAACTATGTGTGAGTACAGCAACGTAACTGCTATGCCATCTGCTGGCCCCTGTATTTTTTAAATTTGATTACTTTAATGATTATTTTGCCCTTTCCTTTTGGATTTTAAAAAAATTGTTTTGCTATTAGGCTTGAAAGAACATTGTTGCTAGTTGTTCTAAGTTTTTTTTTTTTTTTTTTTTTTTTTTTTTTTTAGAGAGAGGGATTTTTACTATGGGGGGTCG